GATGAGTACATTCTCTGGCAGCTTTAAAGATAGGACATCATGGAATGCCACGGAAAGAAGAAGATTCCAAACACTTCCCCCTCTTGAGTCCCCATAGGGAGAGAGGTGTATAATATATGATGACGATAATGATGATTATGATAATTGTGGGGTGAGGTCCTTAGTCAATACTACCTAAAAGTAGTCTAGAACATGTTTTTCTATCTGAACTTATCTGTCTTTCTATCTGAATCTACTTACTACCATAAAAATAAGAAAATGACCCCTTGGTGCAAAATCCCACTATAAGGAACTGAAAAAGGCCATTTGACACACACCGACATCCTGTGGCTTTTGAGAAAGAACAGTCATCATGGGGCTATTTTGCATAGTATATCTTTAAAAAATATTTCTGCATACCTTGAAGTTTCACCGAGCATGCTGAAATTGTGCTTTCTGACTGACTCTAGTTTGTCTGTATTCTGTCAGCACTCACTACCACCTCATTTGTTATGAAAAGGCATGATACTTCAGTGTTAAGAAAAAAAGTCCTCTCTGATTTGAAAATAAAAAGCTTATATTAATCTTTTATGCTTGCATTGTTTCCCTAGACATATTGTCAGTAGTAACTCTATGCTTTTATCACCGTCTTTAGTATCATATAGAACAGATATATTTTTTCAGGCATGATCAAATTTTTTATATTCTGTAGAAAACTGAAGAATCTCAAACTTTGTTTTTACTTGGGGCTCACTGAAACTGAATGGATAAAATAAGCAACCTACATTTGGAATATTAAGTTACATTTCTGTTCTATATGTTTTGCCATTTAATTGCTTTTAAGTCAGTCATGAGATTCTTAAATTGGCAAATAACATACAGAGTTTACAGGATTCACCAAGTCTTTGTTGTATTCAACTGTCTAAAACAGAGGAAGTAACTGTCTTCCTAATGGCTGTGCCTTGACAATAAACCCTCATTTACTTGTTACCATGTTAATCCTTAATCCTATTGGATTTATGCCTTGGGTCTACTTTCACAACACCAAATTCTTGATTAAGTTGTACTCAGCATACTCTTCTTTGTACTTAAACAGCTTTATTGATTTTACTGTAAGATTCCATTCCACTGTAGCAATGGCCTGTTAATTAACTAATTTCAGCACATTGGTTGCTATCTTCTTCTTGGGTTCTTTGAAATTAGTATAATATATGACTAAATTTACATTTACAAAGATAATGTAGCCGCAATTTCTTGGAAGTGACTTAATTGTTAAGGTTATATCTAGCACAGGGATATAAAGTGCTACATTTTCAGGGAAAAGTAGATTATCCGATTTGTTTATCTAAGAATCCCCAAAGCTCCCTCTGAGACTAATATTATTTTGTGGGCAGTTTTAAAATATTTGCAAATCTATTTTATAGTACGAGCTTACATTACAAAGCCAATTTAAGGAGTGAAGAAAACAAGCAAGCAATCATTATAATACAAGTAGTTGTGTGATCAGTTATGTGTTTACATGAATCAGATTGGTATATAAATAGAAACTGACTCTTAACAATTCAAGAATAAGAACTGTCCTACTGAATAAGTCCAAAACTCATTAGCTCAGTAGTCCATTAGTTTAACATAAGGAAAAGTACCTGATGTGAGGAGGAGTGGAAGGAAAGAGGCAACGTAGAGCCTGTCTCTCTGTGTTATTATTTCTGAATTCTTTCTGTCTTTTCCTACATCTCTTGAGGCATTAGTATGTGATTTTTTTAGCTTTGGATTTGTGCATGTCTTCTCTCTTACTATAATAATTTGTTTGCTATGTGTTTTTCACTTTGAGTCAGCCCCAGTTTTTCTCTCTGGATTTATATCTACATGTTTATTTCTGTCCTCTCACTTTCTCTTTCTGGGATTGGAATTATGTATTTCTATTCCTTTTTCTGAGTATGCATTCTGGGAAACGTATGGAGAAAGAGATGCTTTTCCCTCCTGTGAAATCAGTGTTTCAAGTCTGGTGATACCCACACAGCAGGCATCCTGTGACAATATCTGTAACATTCTTAAAATCCCAAATGCTTTCTACGACTCAAAAGGACTGAAGTTCCCATACTTTAGCATTTGAATGCAGCCATTATCTAATTTACAAGGCTATAGACAAAGCTCCATTTACATAGCAAGTGGCTTTATGCTGTGGTCAGCAACATTTTAATCATTTTTTATGACCATGATAATATGATATCAGTTTTTACCATAGAACTTGGTTCATCCATATTTAACTCAGATTCAGATACTACCATAGCAATCTGACAGCATACCTGTCACGAATAATTTGAAGCAGCTCTACAGTGAAATAACATTTGAATACTTGGTGACCAAAAATGGCCTTCCATCTCATCATTGTGTACTTTAAAAAATTAAAACATATTGACTAAGATCCTATTTGATGCTTATAAGCATAAAGTTCTACCCAAATACTTATGCAGAAGGACATAGAGCAGCATTTCTCAACTTTGGGATTGGGACCCCTTCAGTGGTCACAAGGGGGTTTCAGAGGGGTTGTCAAAGACCACCACAAACTTATATTTCTGATGGTCTAAGGAACCCCTTAGGCAGAGATGGTTGAAGATCTCTCCTCTTACCCCTCTTTTCCTTTTTGGAATCATCCCAACAAAAGCCTTCCTTCACTGTGATTGGCCAGCCTCTCAGACAACCTCTTAGCCAAGGGGACGGCTGTTTCTCAGCCAAGTGGGGAAAGGAGAGCAGGCGGGAGGCTCACCCCAGCGAATCCCTTCAAGGCATGGGGGTTCTCTGTGGGAAATTTGGCCCAGTTTTATCATTGGTGGTGTTCAGAATGCTCTTTGATTGTAGGTGAACTATAAATCCTAGTAACTGAAACTCCCAAATGTCAAGTTCTATTTTCCCCAAACTCCACCAGTATTCACATTTGGGCATATTTAGTATTTGTGCCAAGTTTGGTTCAGATCCATCACTGAGTCTACAGTGCTCTCTGGATGTAAGTAAACTACAACTTCAAAACTCAAGGTCAGTGCCCATTAAACCCTTCCACTATTTTCTGTTGGTCATGGGAGCTCTGTGTGGGAAGTTTGGTCCGATTCCATCATCGGTGGAGTTCAGAATGCTTTTTGATTATAAGTGAACTATAAATCCCAGCAACTACAACTCCCAAATGACAAAATCAATTCCCCCCAACCTCACCAGTACTCAAATTTGGGCATATTGGGTATTTGTGCCAAATTTGATCCAGTGAATGAAAATACATCTTGCAAACTCGATATTTACATGACTATTCATAACAGTAGCAAAATTAGAGTTATGAAGTTTAAACAAAAATAATATTATGATTGGGGATCATCACCACTTGAGGAACTGTATTAAGGGGTCGCGGCATTAGGAAAGTTGAGAACCACTGGCACAGAGGATTATAATGACCAGTCAGATGACAACATGAGAGTCACCTGCTTGACCAATCAGTGTCTCTTGGGGTTCAAGCGCATCATGGTGCTCCCTAGTAACTATTGTAGAGCTGGAGAAACTGAATATATTTTTGCCCACGGTCCATAAAGCTACTTACTGCTTTCCAGCAGAAGTCACCAAGAAGATCCCTGCCATTACTGTTTGCAATTTTTCTTTAATAAGCTTTGTGTTCCAATAAAAATAAAGTGAACCTGTTTCGGGGGAAATCACTGCAAATCATAATGTATTTTAGAGTCCATTTTGCTTCCAAAATTGATGCATTGGGGAGGTTAAAGGGGTTAACAAGGCTGAGTCTGAAACTCAAGCAGAACGTATGTTAATCCTTTTAATTTTTTAGGCTGAGCCACTGTGCTGTCATAAGTAAGGAGTGTGAGTAATGTACTTCTTCACACATGAAAGAGCCACAGCAAACATCTTAATTTCCTGAAAGCAATCATTTCCATAGTACACTGCTAGAGATGAAATTCAGAAAAACACTTTAATTCAAAATATGGATTTAAACAGCTGTATGTATTTGTTTTAAGTGGTTTTGCTAGTTTTCACATAGCAGTGTAAGTTACGGAGCTTTCTAATGGTTGCACAGAGTTTTGCTGAATATCCAAACAAATTTATATTTGGATTCTTAAGGCTACTTCTATACCTCCTGCAGATGCTGCATAGATGCATAAGTAATAAGGGATTACCTGGCACACATTCTCTTCCCAATTCTCCCTTATCTTTGGTAACCCCACAATGCCTCTTAATCTCCATCCCTATACTGAACTGGCTGTTTTGCCACAGATGCTGCTGGTAATAGTAATAACAGCTGCATATTTAGAAGCTTTCACACCTGGGCATTGTAAGGGGGTAATGCTTATATTGGCCATAATGAAGGTCCAACCATGATTAGATGAAATTTGACATTATCAAAAAATCATACATGGTGTGCCATGTATCATTATAAGCTATTAACATCTTTGTAATCACAAGCTTGAAGATTCTACGGACTCCTTAATAGTTTATCAATCAATAATCAGGTCATACTTTTTGTAGAAAACCTTCTCTTAAGTCTGAGCTGCTTCAGGAAAAAATATTATCAGTGGTTTGGAAAGAAAAAATGCTGCAGGTAACAGAAGAAATAAGTGGAAGATGTTTACTGAAAAAGAAAGTGGAGTTGGAAAGTGACATATTGAGAGTGTGAACAGACAGGTCACTTACAAAAGTAAAGCAAAGATGAGACATGGGCGATTATCAGATAGAACTATTTTTGCTTATTATTTATCCATTAATAACCAATTCTGTCTCTTCATGTTCCATTTCCTGATATATTCTGGTTTGAATGAATATTAGGAATTAAACAATACCATTCCAAAGAAGTCATACTTGTTAACTACGTCTGGATCCACCTACTGTTACCATTAGATTTTTTTTTCTTTTTTTAAAAAAAATCTTTACCTCTTTTAATCTCAGTGCAATGTATTTTGGGGAAGGGGAGGGAGGAAAAAGCTGCAGTACTTTTGAGAAGGAAAGGTGACACATTTTCTTATATGCTTTACCTGTTTCTATTGCTGGAAATCCAATCTGAGATTAGAGTTGCTGCCTGCTGGTGGCAGTGCTTGTTACCAAAGCTGCAGGCCAGCATAATCACTTCACGGCGTAATTCCCTGGGTATCCCAAAAACAAGTAGCAAAATAGCATTAGGCTCATGTTAATAAATAGGTTTAAATATTTACAACATTCTTACAAGATCTAAACCAATATTTAGCAAAGGTAAATTTATTAGCAATGCTTAACAGTAAATCTTTAAAAGAGACAAAGCAGCTGAGAGAGTACATTGAGAATGTTATAAACTGTCAGCGACTGGCTTTAGAAATACAGCAATAACCCAAATGATAGAATCATAGAGTTGGACTGGTTGGCCATCCAGTCCAACCCCCTGCCAAGAAGCAGGGAAATCACATCCAAAGCACCCCCACGCAGATGGCCATCCAGCTTCTGTTTGAAAGCCTCCAATGAAGGAGCCTCCACCACACTTGCAGAGAGTTTCACTGGTGAACAACTCTCACAGTTATGAACTTCTTCCTAATGTTCAAGTGGAATCTCCTTTCCTGTAGTTTGAAGCCATTGTTCTGCATCCTATTCTCCAGGGTAGCAGAAACAAGCCTCCTCCCTATGACTTCCCCTCACATGGCCATCATGTCTCCTTTCAGCCTTCTCTTCTGTGGGTTAAACATGCCCAGCTCTTTAAGCTGCTCCTCATAGGGCTTTCTCTCCAGACCCTTGATCATTTTAGTTTCCCTTTTCTCGACACATTCCAGCTTGTTCAACATCTCCATTAATTTGTGGTTCCCAGAATTAGACACAGTATTCCAGTGTAGTCTGACCAATGCAGAATAGAGGGGTAACATGACTTCTTTGGATCTGGACACTATACTCCTATTTATGCAGGCCAAAAGCCCATTGGCTTTTTAATCTGCCACATTACATTGTTGGCTCATGTTTAACTTGTTGTCCACGAGGACTCCAAGATGATAAAAAAAAAGCAATCATTCAAACAAGAGGTACCATTTCACAACAGCAAGATTCCAATGAGAATTTAGAAACAAAAACAATAATCATTTTAAAATTGAACAGTTTCAAATCCTTCTGATTACAATGGCATATATTAAAATATATGTAACCATAGAACCTGTGTTCCAAATGATGAGAATAAATCAGAAAAGTCAAACTCTCTATATTCATACTGAGTTTCTTTTTATCATTTTGTACAACTAATTTGCAACAGTTTAAATATTTATATATATAGATGTATAGATATATAACAGTACTCATGTTGGTATGATGCTTGAACAAAGGATTTGTCCAAATTATTTGTTGGCCATCCAAGCTTGAGATACATTGAAGCAACTTGTCTTAAAATATATTCCTGAAAAAGAGGAAGAAGAAAACCTTGCATTATTATTATTATAGTTAAAAGAAAGAATAACATACTCCATAGTTGTTACTTATCTGAAAAATACCCTGTAAAACCTACAAAACCCCAAATGTGTTTTTCTACCCAGCATTGGAAATTTGCTGGCCAGTACTGTGATATCCCCTCTTTTTCCCAGAACATTTCAATGTTCTATTCCCAATGGCATTTGGAATCACTTGAAGATCACCTTGTCAAAGACACACATTTGCCAAATTTTGTCAGTACTATTATAACAAGAAGTTTTAAAAATGTCTGGGATGGGATGTGATTCTATGTGGGGAGGCTTTGAGATCCAGTAAGTGATCCTACCAACAGAGGAGATCATATCAGCTCATCCCTCCCTTTTTACTGTAGTAGGGATGTATAAAATCTTTAATATTAAAAACATGGAGAAAAATGTTTCTCTTGAGTCACAAGAAGTATCCTGGACTAATGGGAATCTTCACCATTTGGGAATTATTTCTATTCTAAATCTGCAGATGGGTTTTGTACAGAAATCAGCATTTTCTTCTCAACTATTTCTTGAGAAAGAAATGATTATTCCACCCAAAAGTATCACATGAAAATTTTGCACAGAATGTCTCAAACTGAATAATCTTCAAAAACTAGTTTTTGTAAACTTTTGTAAAGTTTCTAAGTTTACCTCTTGCTTCATTTGAGAAGGAAATTAACAAAAAAAACCCAATTCCTACAATTTCACATACAATTTCCACAGGACTACAGGGAAAAGCTCTAGAATTCTGTTAATGGAAGGTTCCTGCCCATTCAAACAATACAGTACGGGACCCACAGCTTGGTGAGGGGTACAAGTAGGGTTAAGAATATGTAAGGGCCATTGATTTATATGGAACAAAGGTAAGTATAGTTTTAAAATGTATTTTTGAAAAAGGGGATTTAGAAATTACCTAAATACACTAAAGGCACCAGATCGTGTCTGATATATTTATTTATTTATTTATTTATTTATTTGATACACTTGTATACCGCTAATATCTCAGCCTAGAACGGCGACTCATTGCGGTTTACAGCAGTTAAAACAATCTACAATTTAAAAACATATACACATACAATAACAAATTATTGGGCCACCAATAATAATCCCATATATCTCGAGTTGAAATCACAATCCAGAATTCGTTGTCCATGTTTCCTGTCCTTAGTCATCAATATTCGAATTGCCACAGATTAGCCGAATGCTTGTTTGAACAGCCATGTTTTGAGTCTCTTCCTAAACACCATCAGCGAAGAGGCTGATCGTACCTCTATAGGGAGGGCGTTCCAAAGCCGGGGGGCCACCACAGAGAAGGCCCTGTCTCTCGTTCCCGCCAGCCGCACTTCTGAAGGAATTCTGATATAATATGCAGGGCCAGCTCTTGTTAGTACTTAAATGGGAAATTGCCAATGAATATGAGGTGCTGTAAGCTACATTTCGAGAGGAAGGATGTGGCAAAACTACCTCTGTGGATTCCTTGCCTAAGAAAACCCTATGAAATTCATGGGGTCAACAAGCGACTTGAGGACACATACATACACACTCAACGTTAGGTGGGTCACGCCTTGCTTTTTAAAATCTGTAATGTACACTTGACACAAGTATAAAAAGCTGCTGCTGCTCAGATAGGCTAGTATTTACCCTGGCAGGCTACTCTTGACTTAAAAAATGCATGTCTGAATAATGTCCATCATTAAACATTTATCAGTGACACATTTAGGCCACACACAGAGATGAAATTGATAGGCTTGGCTGTCTTTATATGCACAGATATGGCAAGACCATTATACAGGCACAGCCAATTGAAGTAATAATATTGAATAATGTGAGCTGCACATCAAGACAAGACAATTTAATGAGAACTGTATTTCAATGTCTTTTTGGTTATTGGCATTTTTAAAGGCAAAAGGTGTAACAAGTCTACTTGTGACCCTTTCACAAAAGGATTCTTCACTCCGTATGTCAAGCTGTAAAGTATGCCTTTGTCATAATTGTCATGCCATAATTTTCTCACCACTGGCTTCCCTTGTTTTTAGGTGAAATTTAAAAAATGCACTTCTCATTATATTAGCAAAATATGAGTTTGAATAACTTATATTTACATGGCAACATATTCAGCTGCATGTTATGACAAGATGAAAGGAAATATGTGGTGCATTTTCCTGTGGCAGGTAAGTCATCCCTGCGACAAAAAATGAATTTATTGTATCTTTGCTGCCAGCTTCCATATAATGAAGACAACTATCCAACAATATATTTTTACTATTCTTATTTACTATTTGTTTTACAGCAGCCAGACTACAGAAGTCAGCAAGAAATATATTATAATGGTTCTTCAATGTAGGCAACAGTAAGCTGGCAACCCAATTTTCTATTTAATTCAGCATAACATGGCAGGGAAGGAAGCTTATGCCTCATAGAATTCAGTATCTATCAGCAATCGTTAGAAAGACAAAGGAAATGAAGGAAGCGAGCAAAAGCATTAATATACTTCTTGCTTCCTCCAGCATATCATTTTATTTTACTATGAGTGATAGTGGCTTTAAGAGAGAGAAAGCCCAAAATCTACAGAAAGTCCTTTGCATATTTTATCTGTTGCTGACTGGTTCGGATCCTGAATTACATTTAAATAAGACATTTTAAATATATAGTATTAGCCATTCAATTTGCACAGTACTGAACATGTAAAATTTATAGCAGTGTAATTCAGTTCATAGTGCTCCTAAATTACATTCTGGAGAGGGAGGGAGGGAGTGTAGCTCAGATCACATGTTCTGTTCAATCCCTGGCACCTTGATCTGAGACAGCTTCTTGGTAAAAATTCAGACATCTGCTGCCAGTCAGTGCAGACAACACTGAACGACACTGAAGGCCTATATTCTGACATATTATAGGTTCCCATGCTCCTAGCTTGTAGCACTCTTTCATATAGGTTTGGGAAATTTCTGAGAAGTTTGCAAACATACTATTTCTGAACCCAACAGAAAATATAATACTAACTATTGCTAAAATCAAATGAAGGTGAAAGTTTGCTTTGTAACAAAATATACAAGGAGCACATACCTTTTTAAATTATGCTTCCAGGACTCTTTTTAAAAAAATAAATAATGAATATGTTCCTTGTTTCAAAGCAGAAATGTGCCCAGTCCTAATCCCAATGAAATTCACTAGTGCCACTGAAGGTAAAACACACACACACAGGGGCATACATTACATTTTTTTTCTTCTGCTTTAGTTTTACCACTCTCCAGGAAATCCTTTTTTTTTAAATCACAGCTTTGTGTATCTTGAAAATCTACAACTTCTTGTGCTGCCTTTTGAAAGTTAGGGTTCCATGAAACATGTATTCATTAGTAATCTAATCCACTGCTTCTTAAACTGTGTGCATTGACCTCAAATGGGTCCCTTTAGTTCAATACTGGGGGTCAATAAAGAATGGCAACCATAAAAGGTTTTTGAATGCCACCTGGAACACATGTGTCAAATGCAAGGCCCATGGATCAAATTTGACCCAATGTATCATTTTATATGATCTGCAAGGCTTTCAATGCCAGGGCAACATAGTTAGATTTATACATTCTTACAATTACAAACGGTCCTTTGAAGGAAACCATAAGGTTGATGTGGCCCTTGGTGAAAATGACCCTGACCTAAACCGGTGCACAAATCTGTTAGCAATAATGTGCATTGTTTACAGTGAACTCTGTAGAAATTGCTTTAGCTGTATGTCATAAAAAGGAAAATAAGCCTGTTTAGTGAGCCTTGCAAATGCTGGTTTATTATCAATAAATGTTTGATTTTTAATATCTATTTTATATACAAAAATTTCTTGGGCTGAAAGGGGTCACGAGTGGAAAAAGCCCTCATCTAATCCTTGATTATAAGGGGAAATGAAAGATAAATTTTCTAACTGAAACAATGATGGCAACATTACTATTTACACTGAACAAATTTGGTGATAATTTATATTCAAATATTTTGGGGTCTACGAATGTGATAACTCATTAAATATTACTATTCTCGAATGAATTAAACTTATAAGTACATTAAAATAAGGACAAAAACAAAGAAGACACCAGCCCATTAAGCACTTTGAAGTTTCATTGACTGGCTGTGGAGTAAAAGTTCATGCACCTGTTTAACCTCTCACTGAAACAAACAGGTATTAAAAGTGCTTCATTTTATTTGATTTCTATCCCAACTTTTTTTTTTTTTTGCAGAATTTGGCCCTTCTGAATCCCACCCTACTTTAATAAGTCTTTAATAAGTCTTTTCTACATAAACAATATTTTACATATTAAATGTGCATTTATTTCTAATTAAACCTTTTTGTTACATATTAAACCTGCATAATTTGTCATGGGATATTTTGTAATGGGAAATGCCATTTTTCCAGCCAAGCAAAGTATTCATTTATTCTTTCAAGTTGTACTTTCAAGTTGATAATTTTGTGACACTATTAATGAATGATTTTTCCTTTTTTTCTTTTTGTCTCTCTATTCTTTTCTGATTGTCTGTTCTATTTCTTCTATACACAATAAAATAATTAAAACTCAAAAAAGTAATGAATGATAGCACTCATTTGTTCACTAGGAAGAAGAGGATGTGCTTTCTCCTCTTCTGCATTATGTAATCAGGCTAATTTAATAAATAATAAAATTAAGGTAATTAGTTCAATTAGCCCATAACTAGCATGACTATCTCCATTTGGAAATGGACTTTCCAGGAATGATAGCAATAAAGTGCAATTAGGATAAACCCTGATTGATCAATGGCAATTTACCAGAATGGACAACAAGTTTAATGGATAGTAACAGAAAAGATAGAATAAACTATAGCTTTACATTGAAGATGTTGTAGTTTTCTGTGCGATCCAGCAACTTATCTAGTGGATAAAGAGCGCGGCTGGCAGCATGCCAAGGCAGGAACTCCTTTTCCTTCGACAGGTATCTGAGCAGCTCTAGTGGGATATTCTGAGGCAAATAGCCAGCTCTACACAATTAAAGAAGTAGTTGTTAATTATTATTTGGAAAAAAAATGTCTCAGGTGTCACTAGAAATTCAGGCATACTTCTCAGTAAATACATAGAAAGAAGGAAGTGCAATCATTTTGGAAGATTTTATGCCTAACAACAGCAAGTCAACAGTCACAAGCACACACTACAAACAAAACTTTACAGGTTGTCACAGGCAATTAAGAGAAACTGATTCTGGCAGCATTTATAATTTTTAAAGCATGTTTTCCATTAAAAAATCTTCCTCTGGCAGTCATGCAAAATTGTATTGCTGAATCTTATCAAGCGATGTTACACGAAATAGGCTGCATTCAGGCATTTGTCCACAATGTCATAAATCAGTTCAAAAAGCCTCTTAGAAAATTCTTCTCATTACACAGTGACTTTTATGCAAAAAAGCTGCCACGTTAAATCACAATTCCTCATTATTTCTGAAACAGAGATCCAAAGGGGGTGTTGTGGCCATATGTTCCTCCTCTGTGCAACCTCCTCCTTGCTCCCATGGCTTGTTGGGTTTAACAATGAAATCCTATCTTACATTAAGATAAAATATTCCTGTTATATCTGAACCAAAAAATGCTAAATTAACATTAAAATATATATCAGATACATGCTTCGTGAAGTCAAGGATGAAGACATGGGTTCCATAAGATGGCAAACTGAGAAGTAATGTTAAACTGGAAGGAAACCAAGCCCTATGAGGAGCATTTGAGGAATCTAAGTATGCTACATCTGGATAAGAGAAAAAAAAAGATGTGTTTATAACCTGCAAATGTCTGAACAAATTTCATGCAGAAGATGGAGGGTTTTTTTAAGTGGGATGACCACCTTCCAGGGATGCATTAGCTCTAGATTTCAGCACTGGCTGGAAGCTGGAGTAGGTGACCCTTGGTTATCTTGCTATTCCACGGTTCTATGAAATAGTTAGAGTGCTAGAGTGTTGTGTGGTTTCTAGGCTGTATCACTGTGTACTACCAACATTTTTTCCTCACGTTTTGCCTGCACCTTGGTTGGCATGTTCAGATCCTCTGAAGATGCCAGTCACATATGCAGGGAAAAACATAAGTAGAAAATGCTGCTAGAATACGGCCATACAGCCCAGAAATCGCACAACACTCCAGTGATTCCGGCCATGAAAGCCTTCAACAATAAGTTAGAGTTGCATTGTCTTTCTCCAGAAGAAAGGTTTTTAAGCTTTTTCCTTTGAGCTTTTGTAATAAGAATTTATATGACAAGAAAATCTTTTCATCAAATTGAAGCCTTTAAGGTCTCAATGTTCAAATTTACCAAGATAAAAATAGAGGGATATTGTGGTTTTGTAAATCTTCAGACTTTGCAATGTTAAAAACCTCAATTGTTTGGTGAAATAATCACATCAGTGTGAAAATACTGGAACATGTTTTACCAGGTTTTTTTATGTATTTCAGATTGTTGCTTTGGAGACAGGTTTGCATCAATTCAATATCCCTTTATTTATCTAAACAAAATTTGAAACCACATCATTTGAACCTCTGAAACATTTGTGCTTTTGGACTAACATTTGAGCTTTTGGGATAACACATTTTAATGATTCACAACCAGAGAATGGACCAAAAGTGATTTTTTTAATATTCGGTGGTCCGTTTCAGGGAACCAAAAGACTCAGCAAAACTGATCAAGAGGGTCAGATATATCGGTTACTGGAGAGGATGGAGTTATGTCTGCATTATACCTGAAGCAGGGGCCAGTCATGGGGCTTCTGGAGAAGTTCTTTCAGCATCTTTTCTCCCTTCCCAGCAGTGGAAAAGTTTCCTAGGCTCCTCCTTCAAAGAGGGCCCTGCTGGAAACTCACTTTCCCAACAACACTTGCATGAGGCAGGCATTGAAAAGTCTCTGAGTTCCTCTTGGAGCATGATGGGAGTTGGAGTTTTCTCTCTCTCTGTTTCTCAGTCAATAAAAAGCCTGGTTATGTCCATGCTATGATTGGTTGAAAATCGACACATCCGGAACTACAATTCCCAGAACCCTCTCTTGTGGTTTGTCTATTTTAAAAAATGTTATGGTAAAAACTTAATTTGAAAAAATCAGTAGATTGGTGAATTGTTCAGAAACTTGGCAGGCCTGCAGTTGTATGTGATTGCATTTTGCTGTTATAACGTTTTAATTGAATATGTTATATGATGTTTTTAGTGATTGTTTTGTGATTTTATTGTTGGAAACCGGCCCGAGTCCCCCGATAGAGCAAAGACAACCGTTATACAAAATTGCTAAATAAATAAATAAATAAAACTAAATGGGGTCTAAAAATGAAGTAGGTTTCATACAGATAGGCCTTAAAATGACTGAGGATTGAGCCTTTAAATGTTCTCATTGTAGCCAGTGGATCAATTTTTTGCCGAATGAAAACAGCAACACTCCTCCTGATTCAAGTAACTTCCCTGTTCCGTCTTCCAGGAGCATGGTTTGTTTTACCTTTTAGCTGCATGGGATAGCATTATTTTGCATTTCCCCAGGGTTGCTACAATTTCAGCTGCGCCCTGAAAGTTAACAGCATCAGAGGCTGGAAAGTCAGCCTGCAGGCCCTTTTTGCAGCTATTAGTTTAGAAAGTATCTCTTTGGGTTAGGAGTCCGCCTTTTTTCCTGGGCTTGAGATCTCCATTTTGGAATCTCCCCTGCCTCCTTCTGTAGAGAAATAAAGCTTCAGATGTGCTGTTGGTCAGCTGGGTAGCTCTGAAAAAATCATTGTAAGTATGATTGAGTGATTGAGTTATATAGACAAAGAAGCTAATTGAGATAGGTAGATAGAATAGCAATTGAGTTATAGATAGCAATTGAGATATAGAAAAGTTATTGAATATTATTGCACAGTACTTCATCTCCAAAGATAACCTTGAGCTATAGATAGGGAAAAACCTGTTTTTCTAATCGTAGCAGCTCAAGGTTAGGGTGAAAGGATCCCAGGATATTTTCTACCTTTTGGGGAAGAGTTACCTCAATAACTGAAGAAATAAGAAAGAAAGATCATCTCTATGGTTTTACCAACTGACTGTTTTGTTTGTAACTTTGACAAGCTGTGCCAAGTCTGCAAGGACTTTGAGAAATAAATATTCTGTTTTTGTTCAAAACCTGTAGTAGCCTCAGTTGCTGGGAATCTCAAGCTTGTAAATAAAGACCCCCGCGGTCCGCCCAGACAAAGAGAGAAGCACATCTTAGTTTTATTTTTATAGCATCTGGCTGTGACGGCACATTCCAGGTAAACAGAATGAGGGGTGAGCCAGAAATGGACCCTGAAATGGCATGCCTTTTGGCCAAATTGCACACTAAAGACCTTGCAAAACTAGAGTTCTTATAATTCCACAACATTGAGCCATGAGCAGTTAAAGTGGTGTCAAATTATATGAATTATACAGTATCAATGCACACCTAGTCAAGGCTCACAAATTGTATTATGATTTAGCTATAAGAGGTTTTATATATCCTCTTTTCAGGATGTCATGATAGTTTAGCCCCAAATTAATAGTCAGCATTTTCATATTTATTAGGTTAATACTGCTAGCAAACAGTGGAAGACTTAGAATTCCATTAGCCAGTAAGGAAAGATGGCAATTTAAAAAACATTGGACACATTTTTGATATCAGAATTCTATGGATAACCTCTGATTAACTAACCACAAAGAAATTTCTTTCCTTCAAGCCATAATATCTTGAGGCTTCCATTATTCCACCCTGGTTGACACAAACATTAATCTTTAAATTACTTAATAGTCATTTTAATGTATAGCAGCTCTCAGTGAATTAGCTATATAGTGTTAAAGGAGGCATTTGTGTGTTTTGCAAATGCTTTTTGACCTTGGTTTGTTCTCTTTCAATTGAACCCACAGAAAAGATCCCAGCACATTCATTTTCCCCTTAGGGACAAAGTACCAAATGGTACTGTAATTGCCAAGGGAAAATTATTACTCCATTCCGAATTATTTCCCTCATAAATCCCAAACCAGTCAAACAGACTTTGTCACAAAAACAACAGGGTTGCTGTGGAGTGCTGCAAGTCCCACTCAGAATCGTGTCATAAATTCATGAGCCCAACATCAACCACAACCATTTTGAGATATATTTAAATCAAACTTAGAAAACCCAAGCTGCCCACAAACTGTCTGACAGTGTTGATATGATGGAAATGAGGCGATTTAGTTGCCACAGCTCTACAAACTGCTTGGCATCATCTGTTTGTTTCATATGAAATGTAGAAGACGTGACCAGGTTATTACTGTTCAGATAGTTCCTACATGAGGATGGAAAATAAGGGCCTACACCTGATAAGATCTGACAGGCTCAAAATTGAAAATGACCTTAATGGATTAAAGAACTGGGCAAAAACTAATACAATGAATTTCAAGTGGGAGAAATGTAACATAGTACACTCAGGCAGAAAAAAATAAAATATACAGGTATAGGATGGGCAGCATCTGGCTTGTCAATAGGGCTAGTGAAAGGGATCTACAGCCTCATCACACTGGGGTGTGAATCCATTTTAAATCAGGTTTCTGCCTCCTGCAGAATTCTGGGGTTTGTAGTTTAGTGAGTTCCAGGACTGTCTGGCTGAGCAGTTTAAAGGCCCCTCCCTAAACTACAAGCCCCAGAATTCTGCAGGAGGCAGAATCTGGATTTAAAGTGGATCAATGCTCTAGTGTGATGAGGTCCTTAGGAGTCTTAATAAATCATAAGCTCAACATGAGTGAATAATGTGTCGTGGAAGCTAATAGTCTCTCTCCCCCCCCACCCCCACCTTTCTCTCTCTCTGTGTACACATGTATTATACTGGATGCACAGAGGATGGTAATTGCTTCCAACTCCATACACTCTACACTCTGGAGAAAGAATAACAAACAAAAACTTTAACTGGTGTTGACAATCCCATCAACTTCTTCCCCATTGCCAATAATCGCAGAATTGCTTTGTTCAGCATAATCCCACTAAGGGTATGTAACACTACATAGTT